AGGAGGGGAGGGGAGAAGAGATGCAAATTACATGTCTTCATATACTTTGATTGGAGATTATTAAATTCTACTCAAGCGATCATTATCGATGAAGATAAAAAAGAGTTCCAGTTCCCTTTAAATATGAAATTACGGTCGCCTGATACATTATAGTCTATTTTATCTCTCTACGTTGAAAGGTATTTCTTACTAACTTCAAATTCTTAGTACTTTGGATTGCCACCAGTGGGTCTCGATTGGTCAAAAAGCTTTTCCCTGCGGCGGATAGAACCGCCGGACGTAATTATCAAGGGGGATATCGAATAGTTTCAAAATGTCTATTTCACGCACAACAGGGACAGCAAACGTTGAACAAAGCAGCGGGTCAAGCGAGAAGGATGATATTACAATAAAACCGAAATTCATTAAACCGAAATTCATCGTCTCTTATTGCGTAGTATACCTGAATGGATTGAAGTCCCTATTTACTATGGAGAAACCACGAAACTCTTCTTGATTGATGTCACCCAATTTATCCGCACTTTCCGGCGTTAACACAGGATCCTCCTTCGTGAATTCCGTATCAAAGTTCAAGGCATCTTTTTCATTTTTCTGAAAATCGCCAGGAACAATTACGTCACACGATCGGCCATCTATTATTGATTACGTAACGAAATAACAAGGCGCGAAACTCACAATTTTAGGTCTGATTGGAGGTTTTATTTTACGCGTTTCGAGAGCTTCCCAATCTAGATATTTGAAAAATGGCTGGACCCTTATGGCACTTTCGCCACCGTCGGCTGCAACACAACCTAATCGCTTGGCAGGATTCTTGGTCATAAAGGCTTTTAAAACAGACTCCGCTTCCGGAGAAACCCACCCTGGAAACACTAAGTCATCCCGTAAGATCGATTCGAACAGATCGTCCTCGTTCTCGGCCTCGAAGGGTGGTTGTCCAGCTACCATTTCGTATAACAAAACACCGAGAGCCCACCAATCAACACTAGCACCATACGGCAATTCTTGGAGTATCTCGGGAGCTATATAGTCCGGCGTACCACAGAATGTCGATGTTGTCGTTTCTCCCTCGATTATATTCTCCTTGCACATTCCGAAGTCCGCCAGTTTACAATGTCCTTCTGCATCCAGCAGTATGTTGTCCAGTTTCAGATCACGGTATATAATATGATTTCTATGCAAGAACTGAAGCGCGAGTATCACTTCCGCTGCGTAGAAACGTGCCCTCGGTTCGTCGAACTTTCGAGCCTTCTGGATATGGAACATCAGATCGCCTGGAACAAGTCGAGAAACGATATAACGCACCGTGCGAATAAATACCCTTTACGTTTTATTTTCAGATTCGCACCTCCTTTCACGTATTCCATAACGAAGAAGAGTCGGTCAGACGTTTGGAAACAACTGTGGATGGCCGTCAGGAAAGGATGTCTCGCCGCGAGGGTTAAAATCCTCTTTTCCGTCATCGTGCAGTCCACGTCGTCGTCTTGAATGATGACACTCTTCTTCAAGATTTTCACGGCGTAAATCTCGTCGGGACTAGCCTTCAGCTCGACCAACATCACTTTACCGAAACTACCCTTACCAAGGACCTTGATAAAATTAAAGTCCTCTAAACCAAATCTTCTTAAATCACTGTTACTTCTATCGTCGTCTTTGGCATAACTGTCCCTGTGGCTCGCCTGTGAACTGTCCGTGCCCATTTCATCAGTCTGTTCCTCTGTCAGTTCGTCCGTCTCCTCCTGATCATCCGAATGTCTTTTCGAGTGTTTTTTGGTCTGGTCATCTTTTGACTCTTTTATCGTTTTTTCCTTCTGTCCTTTCTTCTGCCCCTTTTTCATCCCCTTTTTATCCTTCTTGTAGTTTTTGTCATCTTGATCCTCTTCCTTTTCTGCAATTGTAGGTGTTTGCGGTCGTGAAGATACTCTAATTTTCGGAGCTCTTGATTGCTTGTTTGCGGAGAAATTTATCGTCTTCAGAATTTCGCTCATAGCCTTGGTATTGATACCGCAGCTGTTTGGAACATTCTTTTGACATCGTTTATGAACATTCATGTTACAAGCTGCATGAAAAGAAATACAATGCAATTTAATAAATTTGCTTAGCGAGAGTCTTAGCGGAAAGTGATTGCGCGTTACCTTCGCATTGTAAGCCCTGCTTGAACAAACCGTACAGCAGGGATCCGCAATGGTCACAAAATGTAAACCTTTTATAATTATGAAGCGCAAACCGATGGGGAACGTCTATATTGAAGCGCGCTATTTCTGTGCCTTGGGCCGCCTGTAATCCGGCTGCTGTGCAACCCTAAGTGAAAAATCACAAGCTTAGAAAACAACAACGATAAAATGACGACACCTAGTAGAATAAAATTAAAACCAACGATGATGTATACATGTATGTGCAATTTACCAATTAAAATATTACTTGTAGCCAATTAAAAATTGGAAGATATATTAACACGATTTAAAAAATACAATAATCTCAATAACGTTAATATGTAAATAGCTTATAATATTTTTATTATCACGTCATTGTTAGAAACTGACGAACATACCTCATCTTTCATTCCTGGACACTTGGTTATCACCAACATGTGACATCTCTTGTGGACTACGCAGGTGCATACTGAAACAACAATACGTAAAGTAGCCCCTTAAAAAAAATGCTCACTTCCACGACGGCGACGCCAAGTACAGCACGTCCAAAGCTAGCTGCATGCGTGATGAGACGAATCCGAAAAATTATTTACAGCAGTACCATAAGCGGAAATCAAATTGCGATTCGCATAATTATTATCTTCGACGCGGGATACAGCACAAGTGCTTCGATTACCAAAAAAATGTTACCAAGCTCTAAAGAGATGGCGTTTGGGATTTCTATCGAAGGGCAACATGCAATAAGCCGAGGGACTACTTGGCGACAGTTCTAAATCGTGTCGAAGCAAATGAAATGAAATCAGGAGACCTGGCCATCGTGTTAAGAAACCAAGATCCTTGTATGACTTAACACTGCCACGAGTACTGAAATATCTGATCGTGATGCAGATTAATCACCCGAGGCGGCCATGTGTACTGGTTACGGTGAACAGAGAGGGTGCACGAACTGAACGCGACAGTTGCAACGGAAGTTAACGAAGCGTCAAAGAAGTAAGCCGTTAAATCGACGGATTAAGAGTCTTAATCGTGATTTTTCTCGTCGCTAAAACTAATCGCACGTACACACTCGTAACTACACACACACACATTCATACATAAGGGTGCGGCAAGCGGATACATAACTATAATCTGTTAATAACGGTGTATGTGTCTTCTCACCTTGACACTGATAGCCCTGCTTGCCAAAGCCCCTGAAATATAACAGACAAAACACGTCACATCGTATCCTCGTAATCCCTCCTAAGACACATACGTTTGCCTTCTTCGATCATGCTTAGTCATCATCTATGCTAGACTCCCCTGATTTTTAGGACGATTAAGGACTCGCGCGATGGGAAAGACCGATCAAGTCCTCTCAGAGAGATCCTAGTCAGATATTTAAACCTTCCTATTTTACAAATTGCTTATCGTTCGAAAATATTGCCAATTGGAACGGTATGTTGTGCAAATGCTCCAACCACCTAAACATCCCTCGAGATGGATTCAGCGGATTATATAAAGCGCGTACTCTTGTAAAACCCAAGCATGCAACCCCGCTCAATACAGAGAATTTTATCTCAAACAGCTGTTCTGGAACGTGTGCCCCGGTTGTAGCGATACCAAGCCTGCTCTTTTTCTTTCTTTCTTTCTAATCTGCAACCCGAGTCTCCCGAGTTAGACTAATCATTCGCAATAATTCAGTCTTCAACGCAAACCACTGTTAATTACACACTAGTCGATAGATATCTCCTCTCGGCATTGCTGGTGTGGACAACGATAAGGAGAGACTAAATACCCCAAATCTCATGCAAATTCCTGCAAACCTGCAATTCGATCAATTCGACGTGTGTGCCATTGACTGAATTTTGGCAGATTGTAAATCGTAATCGCGGGTGAAATGTACATCAGGTACAGACATGCTCCCGTTTACCAAAGTATCTCAAGATAGCGCGCGCCCGGCTATCGGAGATAGCGTCAACAAGTATTTGTACGTGGGATCTTAAGCGATGAGAAGCGACGTTTTTGCACGGGCATACGTACCAAATAAAGTCGCGGCAGTGCGAACAAAACGTCGGTTGCCGCAGAAAGGTAGCCATGAATTTGTGCCCATTGATCTGATGTATCCTACGTCGCATCGCCCTCCGACGGTTCAAGGCCTGTTTTTTCTCCTTAAACTCGTGTCGGTCCTTCTTGCCCTTAACGCGACTGTGTTCCCCGCCGCTATATTCCCCATAGAAACTTGGCTGCCGTACTAAAATATTAAATCGAGTTATTAAATCACGTACGCTTATGAGATATTGAGATTTTTCTTACTTGGCGCATTCCACATGGATATTTTTAGTCGCAACTTTCCCTGAGGTTCTAGGTCAACCTGCAACAGGTTTTATTGTCAATTAGTTTCCTAAAATTGCACGCTACGTTTTCGCATACGCGGTCTATACAGTTGGACCTTTCAGATTCGGTTTGACATTATTACGTACAATTCTAACAAAGATATAGACATATTTTTCATCAATTTCTTTTTTTCAGATATCGTGGAATATGATAAAAGGCCAACATTTAATTTCTGCATTAGAAATTTAAAACAAGCAGGTAATTCTTCTTTAAAACAATTTTACACATTTTTAAAGAATTTGCACACTTTTCAATCAAATTATTCTACAATAGAATAATTTTTTTAAGAATTACACTTGTTCGTGGGATGAACAAGAAAGCCGCCTTTTAATGTTACATCTGAACCGAACTGCTATGAATTATAATTTTATTAATTTTAATAACAAATTACATGCGAGTAAAGCTTTAATGTTTATATTTGTCATAAATAAAAAGTGGTTTTTCAATTGCTAATTTTTAATTATAGAAACCCACACCAAAGATCACTGTCGTCGATCAATTCGCTTGTATAATAATAAAGTCTATTGATAAAAATCAAATTTTTATCAATGGAACATAATAATTTCCTGTGACAAAAAGCTCTTTCACACTTTATTTATTTTATCGGGTAACGTCGAACGTCCATTATAAGAAAACAATTAACCTACAGCGGCGCCAAGCTCGATTTTCTAATAATAAACCGTAATGCATTCTATGTTTTAAAATTATTCATTTACTGACTGAATCAATTATTTCGATATTAGTATACAAATGTCTCTAAAATGCTTATAATATTCTGTGCCAAGAACAACGTTTTTCTCAGTGCAGAAATTTAGGCCAGTATTCATAGTCGGATCTTATATTCAAGACTGTCTCAAGATCACCTTTAGATACTCCGTAACCAATAAAATGTCCCGTACGGCATCCTTAGATAAATTCAAGACGGTCTTGAATATAAGATCCGACTATGAATACCGGCCTTAGACACCGTTTCTTAAGTTATTCAATTTTTGAACAAACAAGAGATTCGATCAGCAACAGACGTCGAGATATAAATTCTCTCACAAATCGATTCTGCGCATCAATAGTCGGATATTATCTTTGTATAAATACGCGGAGATAATATCAGCAAATAGTTTATAAAACACTTGATAGATTCTGATGTATTTTAATATACATTTTTAACGTCTCGCACAAACAAAATATTTTGCCTTTCCGATGCCGTCGTCTCAGATGCCTTCACGTGCAAGATAATGAGACAAAAAATTGATGTAGATTGACACAAAACTCATATTTATGTGAGAGAACATTTACATATCTCTTTGATCGGGAATCTCGTTTGTCAAAAAATTGTGTAACTAAAGAATACACCGCCTCGATGTTCTCGTAAAAGAACAAACCTGTTCCGGGAACAGCGTGGTGCACTTTTCGGACGATTATTCTCCCCCGATCAACGTTTTGACATAAAAACAATGTGTAGTTTTTGAAAAAGAGCGCAATTTGCAATATGCTGTTACGCGTCTGATTTTTAAAAGCGACTATGCGTTTCCTCGGCACACTTCATCCCATTGTTCCACGTGTGAAGGTATTTAAGTCTTTGAAAAATGAATAATTACGAGACAAATATTTCGCATTTGGCGTCGAAAAGTGTGTCGAGATAAAATACCTCCTAAACTATCAATTTTCTGTCAACCTTCTTCGAATACTGTTGTAAGCAGAACGACCGCAGGAGTCGAACAAATACAAGACAAAACCGTACAACTTCATTTTTAACAAATATCCGTAATTTTAAAATCTCAGAGGAAGAATTCATTAAATCGCCCCGTTAAAATCTCAGTTCATAGAGACCGCATTAAAAACTTTGTGCTTTTCAACAAGCAGTTTCTTTTACGTCAAAGAGACATCAGCAAACATTATTTAAAAAAAACAGTACAGAGGGACAGAACACGCGAGATGCGCGTGTAGAACAAAATTGAAGGTTTTGTTAGAAATCGACTCGATGCTCTCTGTGCGATAAATAAAAGTGTAGCATTTGTACTCGGAATATAATTTTACACGGAGCAAGATGCTGCAAAGTGCATCTCCATTTATGCCAGTAGAAGAGAGTAATTAGACGCAGTGAAATTCCTCTTTACGCAACACTCGATCTCTAATACAAATCGATTTAGGTGTCGTTCGTACGCTCGGTTACACCAGCCACGGCGACGGGGTATCGGTCCTGTTTTCGTCCGGATTACGTGCTGCCTACAATGCGAGCGAAAGAAGAGGCGAATTAATGCAGGCCGCACCGAGTCCTGCGTTTCATTAACTTGGACTTGGACGTTTGTTTACTTGGCGTTGCGGCAGCGACAACACTGCCGTGTCCCGTTTCTCTCACATCCTGCCTACAACAATGCAAACGAAGAAGGGAGACGGAGAAGCAACCAGGGTTGTATCAGAGCCGATGCAACCTGCCAGCGTGCACGCGTGCGGCACGCGCGGACTGTACGCGCACACTTGTACGCGCGCGCACGCACGCGTGATCGGAGGCCAGCGGAAGACGGGGTAACCGCCGCGACCGCAAACAAGCTCACCCAGAAATCGTTGATCCCGTCGTAGAGGTTCTTGACGATCTCCGTGAACGGGATGTTGCAATTGGCAATGAAATAATCCGGCGGCAGCACCGCGTCGTGGAAGATGGTGAGACCGAGGAAGACCGCCTGCTGCACCTCGTGGATGAAGGACTCGTTCCAGACCGGGTCCGAGGTCTTCAGCTTGGTGGTGGTGCGCGCCAGGTGCAGCTCGTCAACGTCGAGCTGCACGTACGGGTCGAGCGTGGGCTCCTCCTTCTCCTTCCAGAACTTGCGCTGCTTGTCGGTCGCGCGGAGCTTCCTCGCCTCGCAGATCTCGATCTTCATCGTGCCCGAGAACATGGTGAACATCCTCGCGGAGACGACGGGGAGAGCCGGGGACGACGAACCACCCGGTGGGGGAGGGACGAATGACCCGCGCGGATGAAGAGAGAGAGAGAGAGAGAGAGAAAGAGGCCGACAGGCGGGAGGAGCGGAGGGAGGGGGCGAACCCAACGCGCTCCGTCCTCTGCTCGGCCGTCGCGGACGGACAGGTACCAGTTCTCGTGGTGAACGCGCTTATATAGAAAATCGCGCCCACGCTCCTTAACCCTACCTCTTCGCGCGCTCAATCCATCCCTCCGTCTCTCTTTCTCATTTCTCGCCGCCTCTCGCTCCCGCCGCCGTCGTCGCCGCCGCCGCCGCCACCGCAGACGCCGTCGACGCCGCTGCGTCGAGGGGTCTCCTACGCCTATGCCTCCACCTCCTCCTCTTCGTCGTCGTCCTTTCCCTTTCCGTCTCCTCCTCCTCCTCTTCCTCCTCCGCCGCCGCCGCCGCCGCCGCGGGCACTGACGAACGCGGTGCAATTATGAACACTCCGCTGGGCGCTCGCCTTGCGTGCATAACAGGAACCAGCAGCGCGGCCCGCTCGCCGCTTCCGTGATCGCTGAACGCGGTACGACTGTACGACGGTGCGGCGACGACGACGACGACGACGGCGACGGCGACGACGACGATGACGGCGACGGCGACGACGACGAAGACGACGACGACGACCACGACGACGACGACGACGACAACGACGACGACGACGTGACGAGCGCGGGACACGAGTACAGGGCCTGCCCTCGTCTTCTTCCTGTCCCCCTGACACCCATTGGGGTTCCTGCCTCACGTCACCCGCGTGTGCTCCTGCCCCTGTCCCTGTCTCTGTCGAGAGAGAGAGAGATCGGCGACACGTAAATCGGCGGGCCGTGCGCGCGCGCGCGCGCGCGAGACGGCCGTTCCCCGCTTCAACGGCGAACGCGGGACGACGCGGACGACGTATCCATGGGCGGCGATGACGAGCGGCTCCTCGACCCGGTCACTCTACGCTGTTCTCGCGCCGACCCGAACGGAACCGCGGACCGCTCGATTGCTCATTTACGTTCCACACTAACGAACATCGACCGCATTCCAGGCCTACCCTCGGACGGCACCGGGCGCCCAGACGCTACGCGCTCCGTTCACGGAGGGACGGCACGGTATCCTCGGCCGCGCGCCCGCGCGGCGCCAGCCCGCGACCTCTCGCGCCGGGCGGACTCGAATAAGCGCGAATTTCCATACGTCGGTATTTACCGACACGGTAAAGAACTTACCGGTTGAAACTTAATTGTCTATGACCTTATAATTGCAGTAATTCTGCACTTATAAAGAATTTTTGCTAGTGGCTCGTCGTCCGAGTGGGCGGGCAAAGATCGCCGTATTGAGACCGTTTATAGCCTCATACATATGTGTCACTTAAGAGGATGCTAAAGTCGTCTGTTTTACCGACACATTCGAATATAGTTTTTGCGCTGCTGAATCTTTTTATTGGTTTCTACGCCTAAAATAATACCAGGATAAGTTGCGGACCGCATAGCAGAACATTTTTATACTTGAAACACTCGGGTCAGAAGTCTAATGAGAAAGATATTGGTATTTGAAATTTTCAATTTTTTAATCGTGAGCAATTTGAATTTGGCTTTATAAAATTACAAAATTCTTCCACGCGATTACAGTACGCGTAAAAACAAAGCGGGGGATTCACGACTTTATATAAAAAACGAAGAGAAATTAAAAATAG